CTTTATTTATTTTTTTATTTATTTGGTATAGGGTCTCACTATGCAGTTTGCACTCATAGTGAGCCTCCTGTTCAGCCTCCCCAGCACTAGGATTACAGGTGTGTGCCTGGCACAGCATGTGGTACCACCAGGGATCAAACCTGGATCCTTGAGCTTGCCAGGCAGGCACTTATACTGCCAAGCTATCTCCCCAGCCTGCTAAGCAAAAAATGTAAAGTCTTCCAAGTTCAAATAAAAAATAAAAACACAGCCTCCCTGTCCTTAAATATGATGCAAAAAGACCAAGGTACAAGGTAAAATACCAAGACATTTCCTAAGAGCATTTGCTGAAAGTCCCAACTTAAGGCCAATAAATGATCAACATGCCTGTGTCACTCTAAATCAAAAAGAGCTCATGGAAATTAAAAAATGACTTCAGAAACAAAAACTCAACATCAAGTACAAAATAAAATTGAGTGCATTTTCAAGACAGTAAACCAAAAAGATTTAAACAGCAAATGAAGCAACTTTCATAGATCTATCATGAATATCAAGTATCTTACTGACAAGGAACTTCAAAGAGAAGAAAATAAGAATAATGAAAATATGGGGGGCAGCCAAATAGCTCAGTGGATTAAAATGTCTGCAAGCAGGCACAGGGGCTGGGGGTTCAATCCCCTAGGCCTACTTGCCGGCCCGCCCCTGGGGCATGCTGAGAGGACAACTGAGACTGGGCATGGTGGTGCACATCTGTAATCCCAGCATTTGGGAGGCTGTAAACAGGTGAATCACTACGAGCCCAATCTAGTAGTGAGACCCTGAACACCCTGTAGACCCTTCCCTAAAATACAGGAAAAAAAAAATATATGAAAGCTAAGCATATACAGATTGGAAGGTCTATCTAATGTTTAGCATAATGAATAAAAAAAACCAAATTAATATAGTATAAATTTTCAAGCCTGTAAGAGAAAAAAAGAGCCCAATAGCTTCCATAGGCTAATAATCATTCAAAAGAATAAGAAATGACAGTTTTCTTTTGTTAGTACATATTTACAGTATGTAATGTTTAGGTTTTCTTAAGTATAGCACTACGTCTTGAAAAATGAAGCAAAGTTTTCAATATTCTTGGAGAAAAATGTTTCACCTTAGAATTTTGTATCTGTCTAATCAATCAAACAAACATCCAGAGACTATGTCCTATGTGCCTCTTTCTGTGGAAGTTCTTAAAGCTTCACTGTACCCTAATGAGGAACACCCAGTAAAAGCCCAGGCCAGGGGAGCCAAGTGCAGCAATACAGACAGCCCAACTGCAAGCCAGAGGACACAATTTTCTGGGAGTGAAAATACACAGAAAAGGGATAATTCACAACAAGACTTATTTCTTGAAGTATTTTCAAAAGCAAAAAAGCATTTCAACATACTGAAGAAACACAAGGCAAGAAAAAAATAAAAAGGAAGAAGAAATATCTATAAGTTGAATGATTTTCCAAAGATGTCCAAATCCTAATCCTGGAAACTCTGGAATATTACCTTGAAGATGCATATGTAATTAAGTTGGGTATACTGAGATGAAAAAAGAATCATGTATTATCTGTGGACCCATTATAACCACAAAGATCTTTGGAGATGATGTGACAACAGATGGGACAAACACTACAAGACCACATCTACTACTAGCTCTGAAGACAGTGTGACACCAAAACCTGAAATACCAAAGAAATGTAAGGAAATGTATTCTCTAAAGCATTAAGGAAGAATACAAGCTGTCTACAATTTAGAACTTCTGCTCTCCAGAAGAGTAAGAAGAAAAATTTGTATGACTTTGGACTATGTTTCAGGTAATTTATTACAACAATCAGAGAGAAAGAGACCGGGAAGGGGGGAAAGACAGAGAGACAGACACAGACAGACAGATGAGACAGAGAGACAGACAGACAAGCAGACAGAGAAGCAGGCAGACCTTGAGAGACGCTGACAACCAGGACCATGTTAAAGCGAAGAGGAAAAACAGTCAGCCCCAAGGATACAGATATACATGACAAGCATCCTGGATATTCCAACCCAGACATCCTACATGCATTAGTTTCTATAACAAAATACCCAAGGTTGATAATTTATAAAAGTTTATTTGGCTCATGATTTTGGTGACTAAATTTAGGACCCAAAAGGCACATCCTGGCAGGGCTCCCCTAATTGCATTACAACATGGTGAAGATGTAGAAGAGAAAACAGCCTTTTGCAGAGGCACCAAGCACATGAGGTGGCCTTGCATACTCTCACAATCTATTTACAAAAGAAATGATTCATTCTTCCAAGACTAAAGTCAGTCAAGACCAGTACCAATCCATTTTTGAGGATGGATGACACAATTCTTTCCTTAAGCCCTACCTCTTAAGGGTTCCACCACTTTAACATTACCACAATGGAGACCAGATTTCCAGCATGTGAGTACCAGAAAAACCAACTGTATCAACCAAGACTGCTTAGGTGACCCCAACTGATACAACAGAGTAGATGAACTGGCCAATTAATCCAAATTACGTAATAATAGCTGAACTGCATTTGTAGTCAAGAAAAAGTATAGGCACAAGATTTACCCACTACTTTACAATAACTAAAAAAAAAGAAGAAAAGAAAGTAGATAACTCATGTGAACCAAAGATTCTCATATACTAGACATGAAGGAGCTCAGGATAATCTCTGAAAGAGGAGACAGGTCCTGTAACTGTTCCTGCTTACTATTTGGAGTTTCCAGACCACAACAAAAGATGGGGCAAGGAAGATCCCAGACTAAAACTGAGTATAGATTGGAGATAAAGATGGGAGTGATAGGAGACAGCTCTCTAGAGCTGTCTGAAGAGATACATATTTCGGAATGCCCCCACCCCACATATTCCTTTTCAACTATAATACACTGATTACTTATCCAGCTTTAAGAAACTTAAGAAGACCTATTCAGGCACCAGTTTTACCTGTACTTTCACCTTTTCCCCAATTTCTAGCATAAAACTATGGTTTTAAAATAAACATGAAAGCCTGGGGGGAAATTACATTATTTGCAAAAACAAAACTATATTATATATGACCAGGAGTTAACCTGGACCTGTGGTTCAGAATAGTAATGAAGTACAAGTATGGCACAATACCATAGCAGACGAGCTCCTGAAGAGCTGTCACAGGCTACCACCTACAGGACACAAATGAGAAAACAGCCTCACCTTTGCTCTGTCAGACCATCCAAAGGACTGCACTGTCACATCTAAGCGTTTCATTAACATCCGCCGGCGACATTCATATTCACAGGAAAGGGCATCATTGATTCTTTCCAGTTGTTCCTAAAGAATGTGTGAATAAATACCATACCCTTTAGACTCATTCTGCATACAAAAGAAATTTGAAATCTACAGTAAGTACTACTTCCTACTGACTTAAAAGACAGTGTATAGTACCTGGTGAACATTTTCTGATCCAATGACTTTACCTGGTACACTAAATAATATAGTTATTTGCTAGAACATTTATAATACTCAGAAGATATTAATGTTTATCTGATCTTCAATTTAACATATTAAATAAAATAACCATTTGCTAAGTAGTATGAACCAAAAAGAAAAGAAAAGAATCTAAATTTTCCATCTTGTCAAGTTTCAACATACTATCTGTTCAGATCACAATTGTGCTGATATATTGGGCACTAGAAGTACTTATGGCCAGGTGAGTTTTTAATTAATAATTTCAGTAACACAGTGTTTTACTTTAGAATATACTTTCTCCAAAATAATACAGCATATGCATAATACACATTGTAAAATCCAGATGTCCATTTACAAAGTTAAGTGACTACTATAGTTTAAATACTGCTTGATCCCTCAAAGACTCCTGTGATGGAGGCCTGATCTACAGTGTGGCAAGACTGGGAGATGGTAGGAACTTTTAAGAGGCAGAGGGGAAACCCAAAGCAGTGGGGTGCTGGGAGGGCTGCAGGTCATGGGAGTGTGCCCTTCCGGTGCTACAGCTCCACATCCCTGCCACTGTGATCCACCATTAGGTTAACAGCCACGGGTGGTTCATGCGAGAGCCTGCAATACACTGTCCAAACTTTCAGTCTTAGACTGTGAGCTATTTTTTAGAAGTTCTTTACAAAATTAGCCTGTCCTGGGGTCTGGAAAGAGAATTCAGCAGTCTTAAGTGCCTTCCCGGCAAGAACAAGGACCTGAGTTCAATCCCTAGCCCCAGAACCAAGCATGGTGGCACACACCTGTAATCCCAGCACTGGGAAGGTTAAAACAGGAGGATCACTACAACTCTGAACTGTGTAATGAGACCCTGTATCCAATAAAAAAAAAATAGCCTGTCCTGGATAATCTGTAAGAGTAACAAAATTGGGCAAACATAGTCCTATGCACTAATTTAATCATATAAAACTAGTAAGAAAGGAAGAATTACCGCTTGTTCCGGATTTAAATCAACTTTCAACAGTGGTTTTCCCACATGATTTTTCTGGACTTTAGAGAGAATCTCCTTCACCTAAAAGAAAAGATTATGAAAATGTACATGGTACATAATTTAAAAGGAGTTCATTTTTGTCTGAAGTGCTATTTTGAACAGTAGAAAGTAAACAAAATGTTAAATACATAAATATACCTCACACACAAGGAAGGAGTATAATTACAAAATATCTTTTTTAAAAAAGTACCTGGCATATTAAAATGATACAGCACCTTCTTTCTAAGAATAATAAATAACATATGGAGACCAAATAGTTAATAATTGGTTCTACTCTGAGAATCTGCGTCTTACCTAAAACAATTTTCAGATTTCTTAAGATGACAGTATCCCACTTCCTGGCAAATTCTCAAAAAGAAAACTAAAATATTTTAAGAGCATCCTGATTTTTCTCAAATATTTTATACACGTTCCAATTATGTTTATTCCAGTTTCACCATTGTTTCTATTTCTTCTGTTATTCCAGACCAACAGAAGACAACAAGCCTCTGAATTACAGTATCACACATAATTTTTAACTTTTATAAAGCCACTAAATTGCTTGAAGTACTTTAAGTTTGGTACACAAGGTATTAGGCATTTCTTTTTGCTTTAGCAATATCAAAGGTCATGCCAATAATATTAATACCCTGAAGAAAATGAATGCAAAATGACAGCCTAAAAAGGCCACCTCCTGAACAGAAGCCTTCGTGAAAGAAAAAACTGCAAAACTGAATGAAACAGTTCCTTAGTTATAAGGAGACCAGAACCAGTTCAAATTTTTTTTTTTTTTTTTTGCGGAACAGGGTATTGAACTCAGGCCCTTACACTTGCCAGGGAAGCGCTTATTCCACTGAGCCATCTCCCCGGCCCCCAGTTCAAATTTTAAACAGCATGAAGCTTATTTAATGTTGAGGGCACTCTTTAAAGAAAAAGATTTAAGTCACCTGGGAAGCTGACAAGGGATGACTGTGGACGCACAAGCTTCTGCTCACGGTCGTCAATGTTCTAAAAGTAGGTTTCAGGGATGGCTGTACAGCCCAGGACATACACTGACATTCATGGAATTGCACCTTTAAGACAGGTGACTTTTATGGCATGTAAATTTTATCTTCAAGGGTAACTTTGAAATTAGCTTAGAGAGAACCTGTCCAAGTGAGAGCACCAAAGCTTAACTTTTAATTTCACAGCATATCTACTCTATAACAATGCTACAATAACTGGTATGATTTCTACATATTTTTTCCATAATTTTATTGAGAAACAAATAGCAATGAGACAGTTTCAAACCAAATTGGTAGGACACTTTCAATAATTAACACATTGCATACTCTCTTCCTAGTGGTTATTTGCTGTACAAGATGCAGACATGATATCCTATTTACAAACACTTTTACAACAAATCCCTCCATTCATTAAGAGAATATAACTATATATCTATCCTAACCATTTTGAATACACAGATACAAAAGGGACATTCATCAGTATCCCCTTTTTGTTTAGTTCCGTCATTTGAATATTATAGGTGTGTTAACTCAGCAAAATATTCTAAAAGAGTCCAGTAGTCCATAATAGTATTGGGCCTTCCCCTTGACTGGAATGTCAGAAATTGTTGACCTGAGTCCCCTACAGCTCAACATAACAGCATGGCTTTATTTCTTATATTTCGTTTTTATACTTTTCTGCTGGATGGTTAAGACCAAGATAAAAAAGACCTATGCAACAAGAGTTGTAGCTTTTGGGTCTGATAAGGTCAGTGAAATCCCCTCAGGATGTATCCTGAGATCCTGTACCTCAGATGGTAGAACCTTTGTCAGTGTCCGCCATGTGGATGAGTCACGGCCATTGCTTGGCCAATGTGCTCTCTGTGAAAGCCTGAGAGAATGTTTTCTCTCCATGTGATTTTCCTTAGGCACACAGTACATCATCAATCACTTTCCTCTTTGGCCCCATAATCTTCTTGATCAGAAAATTTGGGACACTACTGATTTACATGACTTTACAGTACAAGTTCTCATATGTCCTGAGTCTTAATTGACCTTGGAAGGCTAGAGCCAAAATGTTGGCTTTCCTTGTGGCCATCCATTTTCTCTAATTTTGGTCTGCAAACTTAGGTTGTTAACCCTCCAGAAGAGAAGCTTATTGTTATTACCATACAACCTAGGCTGGTAAGCTTAACCTCACTATCTGTCTGAATATCAAACATCTTAGGCATAACAAGGAACAGGTATTTTTCATCAAGTATTGATACGTTAAACTTTAGGTCCCTACAGAATATAATGAAAAAACACTTAAAAAATTAAAATACATTTTAAAATTAGGCATAAAGGATTATATAATTCTTATGTTTACACATAAGTCCAAAAATCTCACCATATACAACCTTGTAGCAGGACAGTCCCACAACATTCCTGTTCCTGTCTCTTGCTTTCCTTCACCACCCCCTTCTTCTTGAACAACCACCTACCCGAGAGACATCATAGCAGCAACTAGCATGTCATGACAAGCACCCGTATTGAGAAGACCAGAATGACAGGCACGCCAACCATGAACCTACTATTATAAATTGCCATCTTCAGTGCAGTTGCTTAGTTCACAGGTGTCTCTATGTACTGTTAGTCAGGGTAAGAATCATTCTAATTAACTGCTAGCTTCAAAAATCTTCTGAAGATTCTCAGGATCACTGCCTTACCCACCTTCTACATATAACTGTACGGCTTGTCACTGTCATGTTTCCTAGCTCTTCTCTTTGCTCTCTTTTTATTGTCTAGTCTTCAAGTTCTTACTTTCCTTTTAGTTGTATTATACCTTTCTATTTGTATTTCTTGAGTTCTTATACTAGGGAAACTATATGATATTTATAAGTGTGTCTGTTTATTTCACTTATGAGTATATCCTCAAATGGCATCTACTTCAATATAAAGGCTTTGAGTTTATCATTTTTTATAGCTGAGTAATACTCCATAGTATAAAAATACCACATCTTTTTCATCTATTCCTCAGGTGATGGGCATCTTGGTTGTTTCCAAAATTTGGCGATCATAAATTGTGCTGCTATAAACATATGATATGATGCTTTCATATCCTCTGGGAAGATTCCCAGTAGAGGAATAGCTGGATTAAATGGGATTTCCAGTCCAAGTTTTCTAAGGAGTGTCCACACTGATTTCCATAACGGTTGCACCAGTCTACATTCCCACCAGCAGTGGAGAACGGTTCCTTTTTCCCCACAGCCTCTCCAACTTTTGTTGTTGGGGGATTTCTTTATGATAGTCATTATTTCTGGGGTGAGATGATATCTCAATGTGGTTTTAATTTGCATTTCGCAGATGGCTAGTGATGTGGAACATTTTTTCATATATTTATTTGCTTCTTTAATTTCATCCTCTAAAGTGGATGAGAAGTATGTGTCCATCTCGGATGCCCATTTCTGGACTGGGTCTTTAAATTTTGGGGCCCTTGCGTTTTTCAGTTCTTTATAAATTTTAGAGAGCAGACCTTTGTCTGAGTACTTATTTGTCATGATTTTTTCCAAATTTGTGGGTTGCCTTTTCACTTTGTTGGTAATTTCT